TCGTCCGTTCAGTAGAGAGGAGTCCTTTCCTGTGTTTCTGAGATCATTGATTAGACCCGATGCCTCCACGTCCGCTGACTGTTCTGCGCGCAGTTCGAATAAAGTTAGCATTGAAACCGCGGGTGCCTAAGGTACAGGATTGCGCGAAAGGAAATCGACGCCTTGGTGGTGTTTCCCGCCTCGGCGGACAATTGCAAAATCTTACTCTTCAAGCTTCATGGCCCATCGAACAAGTTTTGGCGTGATGTCACCTTTTAAAAGGAGCCACTGCAGGGCCGAATTGTATGTGACCACTGTCAATGCTCTGCCGTACAGGTAAGGGCGAAACTTTTCAACAGCCCACACCACCGCGACGCATCCGAGTTCGGAAGAGTGGCACCGACTTTCAGGTTCACTTAACTTCCTGCTTGCGTAGGAGACGGGACGGTCGCCATTATCCTCGCCTCGTTGTAGAAGAACCGCACCTAACCCTTCTCCGCTGGCATCTGTGTGGAGCAATGTAGGTGCGTCGTCCACGAAATGTGCTAGCGTAAGTGGTTCTGAAAGAGCTTTCTTGTGATCCGCAAAAGGGGCAACCTCGTCTGTTCCCCATTTCCACTTTTTGTGTCCTTTCTCAGGAGGCTGTCCAAGGCTGCAGCCCAGGGAGAGGAGTTGCGAACAAATCGGCGAAAATAAGATGCGAAGCCTAGAAAGCTTTTTAGTTATTTGATGTTGGTGGGTATAGGCAGGTTAGGAAGTGTCGACAGCTTCGCCGGGTCTGACCGAATACATCCTTGCTGAAAACATGGCCGGTGTAGGTCACTTTGCCGTATCCTAAGAGACACTTCGATGGCTCTAGACGAAGTTCAGCGTTTGATAGGGCATCTCAAACAAGCCCTAGACGATGTTGATGTTCGTCGAAATTGTTTGCTTACACGATTATGTCGTCAAGATAGAGTAAGGCCATAGTCCACTTCAGATAGCCCAGGATTATGTCCATGAAACGTTGAAAGGTTGCCGGCGCGTTACACAACCCGAACGGTAAACGGAAACAGACCGTCAGGATTCGCAAAAGCCGACTTTTCTGCGTCATCCGCGTGAAGTTCAACTTGCCAGCACCCCGATAGGAAGTCCAAAGTCGTGATGTAGTGAGATCCACGGAGACGGTCAAGATCGTTATCAAGTCGGGGTAGGGAGTACATATCAGGTTCGGTGGTACGGTTCAGCTTCCTGTAACTCACGCAGAACCTTGTCGAGCCTTTTTGTTTTCTTACAAGCACAACGGGCTATGACCATGGCCTGTTAGATGGTGCCACAACGCCTCTTTGAAGCATGTCGACGACTTGAGAGTTGATCTCCTTTCGTTCAGACATGGATACTCGTCGAGGGTGGTGGTGTATTTGAATATGTTCGCCGGTGTCGATGGTGTGGCAGACTATCGGTCTACATGCTAACTCATCTTTCGTAAAGGCGAGAGATGAAAAACTTTTTTAATGTTTGAATGGATGCTTCTGCATTTCAAATAGATTTGGTCCGAAGTTAAAACCCGTCCGGGATATTGTCATAATAGCCTTTGCATTTATCTGAGCTGGTTAACACAGGTGAACTTACAACCGTGGCAACCACGGTTTAGGTTGACACGTCAAAAGCCACCCCTCAACTTTTACCTCGCTTGAGGTAAACCTCACTACAGGCCAAGTTAGTAACAAAGTCCAAGGCGCCTCGGTGCGAAGAGACCAGTCTTCTGAGCGTTGCAAATTCTGCTCCAGACTGGGGGTGCAGAACAGATTCGACTATGAAATCTCCTGAACGCTGATTTTTCTGAATTACAGTTTCGAAGCAGTTTCGAAGACTTCGAAACTGTTATGCCCCTCGCGGCAACTACCAGAAACCTGGATGGTTTACATGTGATATGCCAAGTCAATAAAGAACGCAGAAACTTCACATAGGTTTCTGAAGCCTGCCGTATGGTATTCGAAAGTGCTCGGACACAATTCACCACTCAAAGCAGTGCACAGCAGTAGTAGTACAAAAGCACTCAACTTTATTTAATGTCTGGCTCAGTTTTGTCGCGGCGATTCAGAAAGGATGTGTCCATCGACAGGTTGCAGGGCTTGTGTTCTTGAGGTGTTGAGAAGGCTGCGCGACTGGGTTCAAACGAGACCTGAAGCTCTACTGCTGCAGACCAGTCAAACCCGAAAATGGCTGGTGTACTTCAGTTTTCCACAATAAAGAAAGGAAGTGTGACCTTTCTCCCAAAAGCTTTGTTGGTCAATTCAGTGTGTCCCACATAGGGAATGCGGTCACCGTTTGCCGACAGCAGTCAAACATCTCCACAGCCAGCCGTTAGTGAAATATCGCTGGCGGATCTCAACAAGTGAGCCTCAAGGACGCTCACTCCAGCTCCCGTGTCTATGATGGCGTCGATAGTCTCTGAGACTCTATGGAGGTTGACAGAGAGATCGACATAGAGGGATGTAATTGGCGATGCTGTGGCAAGAGGGGTTTCGCAGACTATGCGGGGCCTTGCCCCGTCGGGCGCGGTGGAGGGTTTTTTTGGTGTCGAAGGGTTGGACTCTGGCATGAGCGGGCAAGGTGACCCGGTCGTTAACAGTTGAAGCAGTAGCATACTTTTGAGGTGAAATTAAAATTCCGGTTACTCCACACAGAAGAAAGTTATTGGCAACTATAATTACTACTCAAGAAAACCATTCATTACAATAATCCATTACGTAATAAGGGTTCTGAAACCCTTTAACCTCGTGATCCCCCCGATAACTTAAGTAAAATCTGGGGAACTCCGTACTTCACAGTCTCGCGATGAATATCTGGGGAAGCCTAAACAACACTACTCACACCGTGAAGGAAGGTTGGAGTACTTATAGCGTCAGATGATGTGGCCACGTGACATAAGGTTACGTGATCACCTGATTTTTTTATTGTCATCTGTCCAACGTCGCTACAGTGAAAGGAAACCGAGGCGCGAGCGAGGAGGCGCCTTTTCACAAAAATCTTCTCTGCATTACCAGTGGTGATCAAGATAAACCTCGGAAGAAACCAGAGTAACGGAGCAAAACAAAAAGAAGAAATATATTGTAACTGACAAACTCAAAACTTATCAGTAAAATATACACAATTGTTAACTCCGTTGACGTTTTGGGTAAAATAACTGAGTTTATTGTTAATATAACGGCATGTTGCACGTCCGACCTTGGCCGCTGCCCCCAAGCGAGTCTGTTCTTCTCTCCCGCTGGGTTTGCGCAGCGAGCGCGCTTTCGCTAATCCCGGCACAAGTGCCGCCATCTCATGTCTAGGTGGCGAACCGCGGGTTACACAATGTCTTCCTATACTTACGTTCGAAATAGTACTTCCTTTGTGTTCCTTATTATCCTGCTACATGTGCCTCAAAAGGTGTAGCTTGTTTAGACGACATTTAAATGCTGTGCTTATTATGTTCTTTTTTTTCAATTAGACATAAATTCTTATTCTATTCCACATTTATTATTATTATAATTAAATTGAATTATTATTATAATTAAATTGAATTAATTGAATTTTACATTTATCTCGATTGGGGCGTTATCGATTTACCAAATTCGTGTTACACGATAGGAGGCCGAGATGTTAGAACGACACCAGTCTGTTATTTCAACATTTTGTTTTCCACTAAGCAATGCCGTGCAATCTCGGCAAAAATTGAAACAAACGTGATTTATAAATTTATAAATTTCCACTGCGCAGAACAGTCGGCACAACACCACATCAGCGTTTTTTTAGGTTATTGCATATCGCAGCGATGGTCGCGAAATTTAACGTCTAACATTGCGCTCTCAATGAGTACATTGTTTATCACACGAAGGATTCTCAAGAGTTATGTAGACAAAACCGCCGGAGAAATATACGAAGAATTTTGCGGTAGAAAGCAACGAGAGAGAACGTGTGTTAGTATGCTATCAGTGCACCTGAAAGACAGGAATATTTTTTACACCCAAGTAGCCAGATAGGCGGTATTAATAGTATGTTTTTCAATAAACCTTCAGTTTTGAGTGCGCCACGTCTTTGTCTATTTCGTCCCTCTTTGTTCAGAGCTTTCATCTAAGGATTTACCAACTACACCATCTTTCAGTCTTAAGAACCAGCAATCGATGGTACACTATAACTGTGCCACACTCCGCAAGTAGGTTCTCAATTTACGAAACGAAACTCACAAGTTATATTTGAGACGGCATGTAAGAAGATATTTAGTGTTCCAGAACTGTTGTAAGTTGGGCGAGTTGGCATGATGACATGGTGAACAGAACAGTGCACAAAAAGCGTTTGTGTGCTGTGCATGTTCCTTTCCTCCATCCTCGTCCTTTTGTGTGCTGTTCTGTCCCCAGTATAGTGTTCCACACAATATTGTTCGGGAATTTGTCGACTTCCCTTATTGTAAGATAATCGACCTACAGGTTCATTTGTCTGATTTTGTTTCTGATTTTGTTTCTGCCTTCACCTCAACATGCAGTTCTCTCGTGTTTGAGGTAGGATATCTACTAAGGCCGCCACTGTGCGTGCTGTGGCTTTAATTGTTGCTCATCAGTACCTTCGATGCCCAGCCATAATCAGCCAATCCACATTTCATGCACTGTCAGAAACACAAAATAAAGCCGTATCTGATGCTTTGTTTTCAGTCATTTGCTTTATTGAATCAACTTAACCGCGAGATAGAAATTTTAGGAGTAATTAATTCATTTCAGTATTTACTATCACTAAGGCTTACACTATGTATATATTACAATGCAGGTTACGTTTGATGAGATTACCTTAAATTACCGCAATTAAATTACTACCCATGCATGAACTCTCCTTAATTGGCATGGAGTGACCAAATCTACAAACCGGTTTTCATTTTCTCAACGTATTTCACTATTTCTGCTTCCTCTAAGCCATATTATATCTCTTTCACGATATTCTAAAAATAATAGTCAGAGTAATGTTGATGAAAACGAGCTTTTTAGCACCTACTATTTGTTATTTTTAAGACGTATCGGGGAGGAGTACCGTGTCACCTCTGGAGCATGGACCGTCTAGGTTGGCCTCCTGGATTCTCACACATCAGGACACGCTGGCAATGGTGCTTTGTTAACAAGGTAGGACTATAATACTTTTGTGTTTCGCCAACAAAAAGACAATGTGCATCAAAACTTGACAAGTCAGCGTAAAAGAAAAAAACGTAAAAACTGCGGTTGACGGATGGAGAATATTACAAAAGCACTCCTGATCGCTATAAGCCTTTAGGTTTGTTAATGCAGAACTGCCTTCTCATGGAATCAATTTCTCGGGTACGTCGTGGGCGTTGCGTGGCTCAATGAAAGGAGTTCGCCAGTTTCTAAACACCAGCGCCGCAAACAAATTGTGCGTTTTCGACCCATGTCATTTCAACACGTCATGAGTTTCCTCGCGCGGCGCTCCCTTGCACGTGTTTATGTGTTTCACGGCATAAAAAGCGGGAGGTTGAAGAGGAGGATGCGAGAGCGTTCTGAAAAGATGTGGCAGCGCGTGCCAGGAAGGCCGACACTCGATGCCAGCGCCCGGTGCGGTCCTTATAAAACGCCATTCTGCATATGGCAGCTTCATCGATAAATCAAAATACAGCTGCAATTTTTGTTTTGTTAAAGAAACCAGTCGGACAATAAAATTGGGTTGGAGTTTAATTAATTTAATCTTATATAACGTGAAACAAGCGCCCGACCGCCCAAACGTGCTTGACCTGAAGTATTAATTCCGCTGTGAAATTTTAAAAATAAGATTACAGTGTTAATTTTTCTGCACTTTCAAACTATTTACTCCGATTGAAACGTAAGGAGCGTATTGGTAGAGACTTTAAAAAACAGAGAAACAATAAATACAAAGAGAACAAGAACACAGACGAGTACGTACGTACTCGTCTGTGTTCTTGTCCTCTTTGTATTTATTCTTTTTGTGTTTCTTAAGTACTCAGTATCAAATGCTGACGTTTTCACAGAATCACGCAAGTATAGTCCAAGTAAATCAGAACATGTGTTGATTGATAATGTCAAACCACCACGCAACAATGCTGCTGGAGCCGAGCACTTTGTGACCTAATGGCGTTTTCTGAGGTGCAACAAATATTTTTTGCAGTCATTCTAGTTCGGGTTTGTCATCAATCTTGTTGTGATAGAAATTAACTAACTCTGTCGCTATATAAAATATATAATAGATTCTCAATTTTAGTAACCCAGTTGTATATCCCTGAGTAATGCTAGTGGCACACACCGAACAAATACAAGGGACACATGTGTGGCATGCAGTGTGTTTTTCTAGGATAAATATTTTAGAACTTTGGAAACGGCTGTGAAGTACGGTGTGCGGTGAGAGGTCAGGGCGCCGCCGACGGGACTTTTGAGCCGAACCCGAGAAACAGGTGCTTGCCCTTCGGGCTTCGAATGGAAAGATTTGTCCGGTGCCCTTTTGTCTGTGTCGGGGAAGACGATGGGGGCCCGCCAGCTGCGGAGGCGCCGAGAAGTCGGGATATGAGCTGCTGGCCGAAGGGACGGGAACAGTACGAGGGTGCATCATCGAGGAGGAGAGAGTTTTTCTTTGTGAGCTTGGTGGTGTTTTGGTGAAGAGGAAGGCCCGCCGTTGGGGAAGAAGGGGGGCTGGTCGGGGGAGCCACTGTGGGCGGTCGGGGAAAAACAAGCGCCTTGGAAGGGGCGCGCGGGAGTAGAGAGGTGGACCGAACCACGAAAAGATCTCGTTGGCGGATAGACAAAGACAAAGACAGGGGCTGACCAGAAAGACGGGGGTGAGTACTGCGCAGCGTCCCACCGATTGACGCGGAGCTGACCGAGACCGGGCTTACCGATCCTCACCGAGCCGTGCCACCGAACCTGACGGAAGCGTCCCACCCACCGACGCGATCCTGACCGAGATGGGCTCACCGAACCTGACCGAGACGTGCCTCCGTGGCCCATCACGCATTCAACCGGATCACCGAGACCGCGGCCCAAGAACCGTCCGGCCGCTTCACCACCACGCCGCTCAAGACAGAGAGAAGAGCCCAAGGCCCCGCGTCCCATCAACAGCACCGGCACCAAGGGGGGCGGGGGGGGGGGGGCGGGGGGGTGGTGAGCGAGCACACTCACTGTTCGCAGTCCGACCAATTAATGTCCATATTTAAAATTCAGAGTCGTGGCACTTCCTCTCTCAACCCCGAAAGGGACACCAGGGTGGCTGAACCGCTACTGCCCGGTAGCGGTCATCAGACGGCACTGGGGACGACAAAATTCCAAGGACACCGTAGCACTTCTTATGAGTTGTGAATGTGAAAGCATTCTCGGCGCGCCGAGAGGAGCAGAGGCGGCCGAAGTGCCGGGGCAGGGAGTGCGGCGTTCCGCCTAGGAACAAAAATTTCCAGATCACCCCCCCCCCCCCGCCCCCCGCCCCCCCCCCCCCCTCCGGTTCGGCCACGCCTGACCAACACGCCTGACGCGGCTGCCGCGCGCGCACCACTTTCTCCCTCTTTAATGGCGCACTCCGGCAACACCTCCTAGAAGAGTAGGCCGTAGCGCTCTTCTCGTGACGTCGCAAAGGAAGGCCATCAAGGGCACGCGTCAAAGCGAAGGCAACGCGTGTGGATCGACCGTCGTAACGCGCTTTTAGTCACATACGCGTGCCTTATTAGCTGAAATGAAAGCTGCACATAGCAATGGGGTTAGAAAACATTTTATTAAACGGGCAAAATATTACACCTCTAAATAATCGGTACAAAATGGCACGAGGTATGCGTAAAAGACGTCTACAGAAAAATGTGATTGTTTTAGGTCATAAACATTGAGTCACGCAATTATTGCTGTAGGAATTTACATATTAAAGAGAAATATTTCGACAAATTGGCGAGACACGCAGTGGTTGGACACAGCAAAACAAATAACAGTTAAAGATTAGGTAGACGCGTAGTCAGCGTGGACACGGCTAGACAAGGGTTGCTTACGATCATGTAAGCGATGTTATCGCGTGCAGTCACTGGATTCTTGCATCATACCCCGGGCACATGGCAAAAGTAATGTAATTTCAATTGAATGACATCATTGGGTCGACAAATCAGCATGCGACGCTCGTAAAATAGCTCAAGACTGCGAGCTGATTAAATCCAGTATCATTTAATGAAAATATAGTAACTTTTCCGTGTGGCAGGGGTACTAAACTTACTATTTACAGTCAACTAATTTACTTCTTCCTATAAACTCGAGCTGCATTTAAACAAAATACAACTTACTTTGTATAGAATAATATTATACCCTTAATACAGTTAAGATTCTAGTAAAAACGTGGTAATGACAATAAAATAACATTAGTATAAATAAACACATAAGCACACGCAACGCACTTTGTATAATCACACAAACTTGTTATTCAACTTGCAATGAAATTTAGAATATTACCACGCATATTTACAAATGTCGACGCAACCGCACACGGATAACGGCGAAGAACGAAATGCCATTCTATCACGAGATTAAAAAAAACGACTGCAGCACTTTACTTGCATCCTACATGACCAAGAAAGCCCGAAAATAGGTTCTTTCTCACCCGTCGATCGTATACATATGTCCCTCAATATCTGGCACGAAAACATTTGAAGACGAACTCCAAGCAGTCTCTTTCTATCGAGAGAGAGAGAGGTCTATCCATAATCGACCAGTGTCATCGTTGACTAGTCGCCACACATGTCACTCAAACCATAGCAGGACATGTTCCGCGAATCCACGTAAATGTCTTAGTATCCAGCGAACACAAGAAAACTACCCGAGACTGCGGGAAACGACAGAAAATTGACGGGAAGAAGGATCAAAAGAACCACCCACAAGATCAGAGGCAGCAGTGTGGGAGGCTTAACGTTGTCGACCCATTTCTTGCTGTGTGCGCTCCCTGCGGCGATGACAGGATTTTTTTCGGTTCCCTTCCGTTCCGAAAGTCTCAGCGTTCCTTTTTAGACAGTCAGCAGCTCGCACACAACGTAAATTTACCAGAATCGAAACCCGTACGAGAGAAGAAAATGTCGTACCGGACCGGTTCATTCGAAAAGTGTGATAAGATGCGGGACTGCACGTAGTCCCGCGGTTACGGTGATAATCATAAATATAAAATGGGTACTTTCAACCATGGTAGCGCGTTGTATATTACGTTTTTATTATATATATATTAAACTGTACAAGACTGCTCTTTTAAAATATATATTAGTGGCGATGCTATATTCACGTCGATGCAAGATATTTTCACACGTAGTTGCGCCATGGCCTTCCTTCTCCGACATTGTGACGTAAGCACTCGGAGCGGCACGGCCTTCTCAACTAGGAGGTGCTGACTCCGGTTACACCTGACACGTAACCCAAGAGGGGGGAAGGAGGAGCTGCCGAGCGAGCACACACTCTCTTTAGTTGCCCGTTTTTCGCGGTCACAAACAACGCCGGCGGCACTCCATGGGACAGTTAATGCTTTCGATTTAAAATATCTCCTTCCGTGTAATATTAATGGCCACGGCAGGCGCAGGGGAACATATATGACGCCATAATCACGAAAAATTAATGTAATAATAGAGGTTGTTGTTTAGGCTTCCTTAACATAGATATGTACTGTTGGGGTTCAATCTTGTTAGTGTTTTACAAGGTTGGAATTGCAATCGCACCAGAGACATAACCTCGTATTGCTGTTCCACGTCGATAATTTGGATATTCATACCATTTATAGGCGCATCTCATTCCCTATAACTTGCGTCTGGACAGGGTAAACGATGTTCACTTTCTCCAGTTAATTGTGCAACTGACATAACGCTTAGAGATAAATAATTTTGTAATGTGCGGTTTGCAAATATCAACATTTAATTAAGTTCTAATTTACTTACCCACATTCTGCAAATTTTTTTGTGTCGCGGAGTGTGGAGTGTGTGTGGTGTTTGTGTGTGTGTGTGTGTGAGGGGGGGGGGGGCGTGCGTCGTACGGAAAGGAATTTTTTCCTTACGCTTAAGAGCTATAAATATAGCTCAGAATGGCGGATGTTTGAAAACGAAGTAGGTTGGGTACAGAAAACTGGAAGTGAAAATTAAGTACTTTCTAATAAAATTATTTTTTCTTATTTCTAGGATTTTTACGATCCTTCCTATCAAAGTGATTCTTCTTACCCCGTCAGTTTGGACATTTACATTCTTGAGGTGAGTCACTAAGCCACGTCCTAATTAGGAATAGGTTACCGCACGAGAGTGAATGGCCGTCACATATGTACACACTATAATTATAATTTTAAACATAATTTGCACGTTTTAGGATACGTAATTCAAAAATATTAGAAATGCTAGAAGAGGGCATGACGTCGGCCCCATAGGTTTCCCCAAGTTATCCTGTCTAAACGCTTGCATCTTTCTTTTCCTCGTCCATCTACCCAAGAAGCTCCTTAATTATGGGCCATGCGGTTCTTTCCGTGGCTACTGTAGACCGTGGCAGCCGGACCGCTTGCAGACAAACGTGCACTTATGGTTGCTCGTTGGTCGTTTATCACCAGCTCTAAAGTCAATCAGGTTTGTTCTTGGGAGATTGTTTCCGCCGTGCAAGTGGTACAGTCTAACTTCCGATAACGGCGAAGTAATAGTTAGTTTGCCTATGGACGGTGCTTCACAGATGTGTTTTACACCGATGCAAATTTAGGAATAAATAGGCTATTGTATATCCAAAGCGTTAAATATAAAAGAATATGTATTTCCAACATGTTAAGCTGCATTTTTGCGAATTTCCACGGTGTCTTCTTCTGCGTACGTCCACGGAAAACTGGCTATGTAAGGGGTTACACCTTAGATAACAATGCAGCTGCGTTTTTTTTTTTTTTTTTTTGGCTGAAACCATGCATATAGGTTGTTCCCTGGATGTTTTTATTAATATTTAATGTTAAATCAAAAGTTACAAACGTTAAATCAAATTTTTTACTTGGAAGGAGATAAGAACTAAAGGCGCTTTTGTCGAAAAACATAAGATCTGAAGCACACGGATTGCATTGCTCCACTTTGTTCGGGTTTTGTGATGGCATCGACCAAGAGCCAAAATTCATTGTTCGCTCAGCTCGGTGACCTTCCGAAATCTAAGAAAACCGTTAATTGATCTACGTTACTGCGAAGTTTAGGATCGGCATGTTGATGAGACCAACCCCGCGGAAGGACAGCGGAAAATTTTTTTGCAGCCATTCAAATTGCAAGGCGCCATTTTGAACTGGGCGACACACGACGCCACACATTTTCTCCTTTACTCAATCTTCTCAGCCGCACAGTGGCACGATTCGTCCGCTCATCAGCCTCTCTCCCCCCTCTCCTTAGCTTTGCCGGTTCGCCTTCGCTTATTTTTCATAAAACCAGACTTGTAGGTACGTGTTACTTTTATCTAGTAACGCTTTTCAGTAAGGCTTGTTTACTTTTTGAGTGAAGGATCGAAGGACGTACTTTCGTTGCTTGAGTAACGGTATCTAGTCATTTCTGGAAACGAACGTGCACAGCGCACGTTACCGTATTTTGTTTTCACCCCAGCTCACGCCTTTGACTTTCACAAAAGAAAAAAAAGATGACCATGATTGCCCTATAACTAGGCATAGAAAGAAAGCAAAATATTGAAATTCGGCTACTGGTTCAGAGAACGACAAATCCAGCGTAACGGGAAAATAATACCTTGCTTTTGAGCCGAAATGACTTGTTCCTTTTGAATCTCAGTAAGGAGTAACCTACTTAGTAACCTTAAGGGGTATTCACACGAGGGAGAAATCCCGGGGATTTCTCCCCGGCACGCGCGCATCACGAGATGAAAACGCGAGGCTTTGGCACATCGCAAAGCCTGACGTTTTCGTCGTGGGTTGCGCGTGCCGGGGAGAAATCCCCGGGATTTCTCCCTCGTGTGAATACCCCTTTACGAGCGAATAACGAGTAAAGGTATAGGGTTACTTTTTTCCGTGTACATATCTGCGTAAAACCTAGCGGGTAAAGAGGACGCACCAAAAGTGAAGCCCAGAGAAAAAAAAAACAACTCTCACGTGGTGTGGTCCTCTGGTCGTTACGCACTTAGTTTCTTCTGTAATTATTCTTGCCAGAATTATCAATGGGGTTCAATTGAGTTTCTTACGTATTCTTATAGAGCACATTATAAACTCATTTGGAACTCATTGCTAAGTTTTGTAAGGGTGTAGGCTTTAAAAGCATGGACGCATGCCCTCCATTAATTTCTTGAATTGCCTAAATATAATAATTTAGTCTTCCATCATTATTAAAATTATGAAGAAACGATTCTTGCTAAAGTAATGCGCACTGTTTTTAATATGTGTAACAGAAAATATAGGCAAGACATACAGGCTGGGAAAAACTAACACTAAGAATTTAAATATGCCCGAATATTACCTTCCCATTTACGGAACGGCATCTGATCAAGAAGAAAAAATAACAGAATAACCCAGAAAGGATACTAAAAAATAAAACATCTATATGATGGGAGATGAAATTTTCTGTGCGAAACCATTCAATTGTTTATGTTGATGTATTTTCCTATTCTCTAAGTAAACGAAAGGCAACTTGAACGTTGCTAGTATGCTTGCAACAAGAATTCGGTCTGCTGAGAAAAATTGGAAACACTGGTTCAACACTGTCGGGGCGTAAGTTGGTAAAGATATAACGACTTCTAATGGCATAAGTACCATACATGACGCATTATTACACGCTGGGATGCCGTTAAAATGTCCATTTTTTTTTCATTAAATTACAACTGACGAAGGGATAAATAGGAGAAAAAAGTAAAACTTCAATGTGATGAACTTGTGCCAAAACAGAATGAAATAATTTCGGTTGCGGGAATCAATGTCTGCACAGCCTTAAAGGGGCCCTGGAAGGACTTGTTTACTGGTTTTTAATTTGCACCGAACCTGAGCGCACTGAGTTAATTAAACTTGTCTTTTCTCAAATTTCGCTTTATTTTAAAAGTTATGGGCAAATTAAAATGACGAAAACAAGCAAATAGGAACCTCCTTCATGACGTCCTTAGCCCTGGCTTGAGTGGCCGTGAACTAGAGGAGGGGCAGTGAGCTCAGCGAGCGGTCACGGCTGCCGCACTCCGTGTCGACGGCTCGAGAGGGCGCCACTAAAGCATGTTCTGGCTAGGCTGTATGAAGCGGGCAGCCAGGGCGGCTCGGATTGCATTTGCTGCGCGATTAAACACTAATTCGGCATCACACTTCATTGGCCAGAAACGACAGTAAACAGGGGGTAAAGGTCAGTTCAGAACGGGAGCCACTTCACGCTGCCATACCGCCAAAAGGCCAAACCGCAAGCGAGAGCTGCTCGCCGAAGGCCTTGGGAACTCTCGGAACCGGTCGGATCCTCCAGTCCGTACGACGGCAGCGCCGCCGCGTACATCCCGGACCTTCCTACGTTCGCCGCTCGTTAGTGGCTGATGCCACTACACCTTTCTAGCATGCGCCGCCTTTTCCACCGCTTGGTGGCGGGCATGTCGACGGGTCATTTCTTGTTTCCGTAATTTCTAAACTGCATTTGTTTCTTTTCTGATCTAAAATAGTGAACAAAAACTACTTTTATAGGTAATTGAAACGGTTTGCGCCACTTATATTTTGTATTTCGACTAAAAATAAGCTTTTAGCGGCTCTGACCAGTAGTAAGCCAAGGACCAAAGACGTCACATATCGCGCTCTTTCGGCACCGTGAGTCGCCCCCGTAGGTGTCGGAGGTTTCCGCATCGTCTGGTTAAAATATGACGCACTTATATTTAGTTACTCTCTCCGTGCTCTGGCTTGCCCGAACACGAAGAGACGTGGAAGCCGCAAAAAAGGTAGACGCTTAAATATCTATGCAGGGCCCCTTTAAGATCGACTTCTAACGGAACACTAACCAGATGCAGCTCTCTAGGGCTGCTCTAATATTCGCGCTAAGTTCAGGGAGGCTCTAAACCAGAAAAAAAAAAAACACACACACACATACACACACAAAAGAGACACGATAACTATCAACAAGGAACTGGAACTTTCCAGAAGAAAAACAAATGATAAAAATAGGTTGGCGGAGATCGATCCCCAAATCATCATGTAGGAATTCCGTACGCTGGCAATTCTACCACACACGCGGCCTTTTCAAAGCTGGGAGGGGTGAGTATTGAACTTGGGAGTGACTTTTTGGGCGGTTTCCTGGGCCGGGTAGGAGAGATTTTATGTTACGTGACCAGTTCCGTGGACGCAAGGAGGTATTATAGAAGCACCTACGGGCGCGCAAGCTCGTGCTGCGCAAGTGCGGCGTGCAGTTGCTACGGGAGCTTGCAAGGAGAAAGCAGATTTTTATAGCTGCTGCAACCAACACGCTTGTGCATTTATCACCTGAAAAAAAATTTCGAAAAAGTTGCACCTAAACTTACGCATAAATATCCAAATAAAATTAGAAACATTGTTTTGCAGCTTGAAACGGTCTTTTGCGTAGTATAGAGCGATTACAAAACTTAGTATTAAGCTCTGACTTTAGTGTAGCTAAACGCGGTGCTTTCCCCCACTTCATATAACAACACTGTGTGTTGATCATTTCGCTCTTCTGCTTTGATTTTTGTAATTACCTGCTTTCGATTGGCTGTTTTCTGGTCAATCACCACACCGTTCCACCGACATACCCACCGACCGACAAAAAGACTGAGTGACAAGTGATTTGAAGATGTATTATGACACCGCAGTCTCTAGCCAGCCAATCGTGTCAATTGACTAGCACGGTGAAACTTCATTTATCGGCAGTATGACAGGTTAGGATAGGCAGAGAGCGTGTGTTTCGAGACTACCTCAGTTCCTTTCATGTCTTCGACAAATTTGTAATTGCATTCGTTCACAAATCGCAACTAAGAAGAATTATAGGTTATGCGTAATTTTGTGGATAGGTGGCTATGTCCTTATTGATGCCATTAGCAAAACAGCCGCCGGTGACGCTAGATACTCTTGCCCCCCGGAACAGGTCAGGTGAACTCAAAATATCTAATACCCGCCGAAAGAAATAGCCGCATCCACAAGCAAAGCGGCCCAGGGTTTGATCTAGCAACAAACCAATATGTTTTATATTTTACGGGGGCATGACACGTACAGTAAAATTATATACTCTTCATATGAAATAATCGAATCAGGCTTAATATAAGCGAAACATGTTTAGAATGTTAAAAAGACCAATAATTAAGAAAATAATATTGTTTTACATTTTAACATTTATACCGCCTCACTGAAAAAAAGGACGTAACCCGGCCCGTATCGTGCGTCGCATCCATCCTTGCCTTATTCAGTTTTTGCGGCCGAGTACCGCATGCCTTCGTGCATTGCACAGAGCGGTGTTCAGCGTAAAGGCAAGTTAGAACGCGAGAAAGCAAGTGATGCTAGCCCCTAACGTTATCGATATCTTCAAACATAATCCAGCCCTGGGCCAGAAGAGTCGAGCGTTCCTAAACAAAGTTAGTTTATTTGTAAAATAATGTTGCGCTAGCAATCAATATTCTGAAAAATAAAGTGCACAATATAGTGCACAGTCCCCTTTCACAGATCTCGGAAGCAGAGTTATGTCTGATTTAATATTGTGCATGAAGGTTTAGCTTAAGGGGAGGGCGGTTAAGTTTTTCGTCACTACATTTAACTTAGATTAAAGGGGCGCTGACAGGTCACAATCATTTCTTTTTTTATCCGAAACGATAAAAACAATGCCTGGAAATAACCCTAAAAATTCACGACTTGGAAAGTCAGTCTTTGTGAAGTAAAAAAAAACAATTCTATAGAGCCAAATTTGAGGTTCCCGCGCAATCCGCGCCAGTGGAGTGACGTCAAAGATTGAGTCGTTCTGCAACTCGAGTTTCTGTAATGCCTCCGTGTTCTGTTCGCCGGCGCTTCCCGCGATCGCCTTCTATCACTGTGAGCAGACGACGCTTCACTATCGAGTTCTTTGAAACGGTGTAAGGTCGAAGAGAACGCGCAGTAGACTTTTGTGAGCGACGTAATTGACCACGTCGCGCCGGTTCTGCGTGAAAGGCGGCCAGACGGAGTCACAGCCGAAACTACGGTACACATGCGTCAAACCCAGTTGTTACCGCTTGACGATTTCCTTTTCGAAGTCTGAGAGGTCATCGGGCCACTAAAAAAGAAAACTATGTCCGATTCCCCAACTCACCGATCGCCATCAGTGCTACATACGTCGAACGTCGCCATGTTTTTTGAGGGAGGATAAAACACCAGGAGATGACATCCCTTCAGACTCCGATTTTCGGTATTTGAAAAAGAAGGGCCGCAGTGCGTTCACGACTGCGTTAAAAAAAAAAAAAAGCATATTTTACGAATGCCGTCACTAAAAATTATAAAAATGTCGCTTACAAAGCTTATAAATTTTATAATCGAGTACTTCACAAATAAAAAGAAGCGAGGAGGTGTGGAGCGGGAGAGGAAAGCGTCAAAAATAAAAAGGTGCGCGCGCGCGTAAAAGATTTCATTTTTAGCGCTCTGTATTTTTTTTTTTGCGTGTCATTTATTACAACTTGCATCGTTTTTGAAAACAAAAGCAATACGACCTTTGGAGTGTCAGTACCAGTTTAAGGCTCGTGTTAATTGAATTAATAATTCATGATTCAACGCTAATTTGATAGAAATTTGATGCTAATGATCAAGAAAAAAGTTGTTTTTTGGACCAATCCTAATGCAATTTAATTACTGATCATTTCAGTTGTGCTTTAGTGTAACGATTTAATCTTTGTCTACTTTTCTCGCAGGCATTGCATAAGTGGGGCAAAATCGATCATCGTCAAGGGCACGTCTTTTCATTTCAATTTTACGATGTAAACACAGCACTGGATGCTTTTGAGCAAACACGAGGTTTCGACACCTCACCTTGCTTTAAAATGAACGAAAGAAAAACATTGCATTTGACACTTGGTAAATGTTCATTTTTGTATATGAAAAAAAAAATTCTTCGCAGCCAACTATGTGGTGTACGGAGCCCCGGTTAATTTTTCTCATACAGAAAAAAATATTATCTGCCAATACGTTTTCAGTTATTAAAACAATTTAGATTATACCTGCAGAAGTGTGTGATAAACCGGCTCCAGATCAAAAAAATTCGTTCACCAGAATACCTCTCTTAGATAGAAAGAGACAAGGGCCAAACAGCGACTTGTACATATTGTTACTGGGCAAGCATTTTGTAAAATATGTCCAACTACGATGGCTGTTTTGCTTTTAATATTCGATGAGCTCTGTTAAAAGAAAATTCATCAAAATATTTTAACCTAAACTGAATAAATGCACATACTACGGCTACTCCTCCACAATCACCGCACAATTTTAGGCAGCTATTATGACATAGCAAAAGCTATTGAATGCCCTTTCCAAAGCCCCGCAAGCGTTTTCAATCCCTCCGGATCTCTCCGATAATTAGGTAAACAACACTAGAGTGGTGAGTTTATATATATATATATATATATATATATATATATATATATATATATATATATATATATATATATATATATATATATATATATATGTCTGTGTGTGTGTGTGTGCAGGGTGTTTCACGAAAAGCGGACAAATTCGATATTGCGAAAACCACGCGTGCCCCCCAAAAAAGGCTTGTGTGGTTTTGGCCCTGGGACAGGGGCCCATTTAGGAAAATTATCAAAGTTTTAGATAATTAAGTTGTTAATTATTTTCGCGCAATTAACTTTTTTTATTTTGTGTTTAAGGACATAGACTCAATTAAAAAAAATTGCTGAGCAGCATCGAAAAGTACGAAATCAATAAATCTCAGAATGATGCTTCGTTGGCACGCGCACCATATTACGGCTTTCTGAAAAGCCGCACAATTTGGACGGGTTTTTAAGTTTCGGTTTGAGGACGGAGCGCTTCTCGGCCCCCGACGGCACCTGCCCCGTGGAGAGATAGTGCAACCAGCTCCGGCTGTATTGCGCGAGGACAGCGCAGCAGAGCTTGGTTGCACTATTTCTCTAAGGGGCGCGGTGCCGTGGGGGCCGAGAAGCGTTCCGATTTCAAACCGAAACTTAAAAACCCGTCCAAATTGTGCGTTTTTTTTAGAAAGCCGCAAAATGGTGTGTGTGCTTTCTATCAGTCTGCAATTTATTGATTTAGTGTTTTTCGATGATGCTCAGTGATTTTCTAATTAAAATTATGGCCGTAAACACCATATTAAAGAAGGTATTTTCGCAAAAATAATTAACCTCTTATTATCCCAAACTTTAATCATTTCCCTAAATGTGTACCTGGCCTCAAACCAACATGACACAAATCTCTTTTTTTTTTTTTTGCGACGCGTAGTTTTTGCAATATCGAATTTGTCCACTTTTTGTGAAACACCCTGCATATACGCAGACTGTAGGTACATACTCTAGAGTATAGATACTTCTTTGCATAATCCTCGCACAGATTTAGTGAAATATTCGGACGTTGCTCAAGCTTTCAGATGTTCTCCCCAAGAATGGTTCCCGTCTGTGCTCTACGTCATCCCATCACAAGTTTAACAAGTGACAGTAGCCACGGACGTTCTTTTCTGACCACTACATCAAGGACGTCCTTCCGTCCTTCCCAAAGCTTCATGCAATTTTCTTCTCACACATTACACATTTCTCGCGAGTGATGGTTTTGCTCACGCATGACAAAATTACTGAAAACCCCAGCAGTAACCCTCTCTGGGGATGGAATTTAAAAGCCTCTGTCACGTTATAACAACTGCCTTAATCTTTCCAGCCTTTGGGGGAAGAAGTAGCTGGAGTATGCATATAACATTCTTCGTACATCAAAAAAAAAGTGTTCCGTTATTTTACCTGTTTTTTTTTATTTGAAGAATAAAAACCATCGTATTTGGGCACTCTGTATTATTCGTTCAAACTGAATATTTTGTCGACCTCGCCTGCCTTGTTTATCGCCGAAACGTAAGCTTCGATAACGTTTCCCATCGTATGAATTAAACTCGTTCCTATTTTCATAATAGTATATTTGATCCTGCTGTATTTCTGCAAATATAAAAACAATAAGTGTGGTAAAGCGACTCGAGACGCACGCGTAGAGTCTTTCTATCTATTCAAATGCAACATACGAAATTTATTTACTGACCACCTCAAGTTATGCTTGTATTCGATTTATTATCAAACATCTGTCTTTTTCATCAGATAATCACTAAAAATATTTTAAATTCAGAATTACATTTTCGTATTTGAATTGCGTCAAAGCACTTAATAAAATATAGCAATCACAAATTAGAATTTTCAACGTTCATAACAAGGCAGACTGCGCATCTGAGATTTGAAAAAAAAAGACACTATTCTTTGTGAAACCAATATACCCAAACACCATTATGCAGGTTATAAAAGCAAAAAGGACCGTTCTGTCCGAGGACTTGTACAGGAGTGTGAACTTCGCTAATGTAAATCCTTGCGAATACCTACGCGATCCGAGGACCTGTTAGCGGGCCGTTGAATAACGCTCTCCTTGGAACGCCACGTTACCAACTTTAAGAATACCAACTGGTCCAAGATTTTTATTTAAAATCCCCTACGTTACACTTCAAATCACGAACTTTTGTTAAAAAAATTATATGCTGCATTTATTGTTCGAATATAACGAGGAAAGCATTTCCCTTAGTATAAAAATGAAAATCATTAAAACAAAACATTTTCTTGGTCATTGGTCATTTTATTGAACGAACAGTGTAACTAGATCAAAGTCAAAAGAATATTTTTCTTACTTTACAGTCTTTGGTTCAGCGAACGACTCATTGATTTCATCGCTTAACACAAAATATATTCGAGGGATGAAATATCTGAGAAATGTGTTACGTCACGTAAAAAAAAACTGACACAATCCCGCTAAATTTACCGGCGGTGTTTGCGTGACGTAATCAGCGTGACGGTTGTCACGTGACATTATAACGCGACAACGTGACGTCATGTCATGTGGAACCATGATGACACCGCGACTTTATGTGATGGCAGTCACTTTAGCATGACAAATTTAGCTGCGTCATGTGACGCAGTGTTGTGTAATGTCACGGTGGCACAGAACGTGCATAAGGAACTAAGTACTTTCTTATCAAAATGGTTAGTCAGCCAACACGTTTCAACGCAGGTTTGACTTATATTCAGCAGAGACCTGCGAGGACTTTGCCACTCTATCTTCAGCATTCTCGAAGAAACCAGTTTTTGTACAGCAGTATTCTGATCGTCCGATGTATAGGGTGTCCCAATTCACCAGGCTCGGTCTAAAATGGACCGTAAAAATCGACGCCTGCATGTAGCAACCTAAACGTTTCGTCAAAAGTGTATTTCACAGGTCGGTCTTTTTCTTTTAAAATTACAAATCGTAGCTTTCTTTGTATAAAAAATAGGGTCAAGAAACTTGCCAAGCTCAACGGTGGGCGGCGACGCAGACGACAAAGTCGAGTTGTGGGGTGTGTTTGGCGTGCGTACTGATAGATGGCGTCTGGAGAAGCGTCCAAAGGTGTAGGTAGCCGACCAGCAAAAGAAAGCAGACTACACGCAGACGAAATCCGTTTTCAGCAAAAGTGCCACCGTCATGCAAACGCGTTTTTTTCCTTTAAGTTTTGCTTTTATTGTGAGCGTTTTTTTTTACCAAAGGTAGATTTCAAAAAGATTATGTTCATTTGAATAAACCATGGTGGTCGCGAGCAGTCTCGTTAAGGAGGTAGCGCCATCTATCAATACGAGCGCCAAACGCGCTCCGCTTCTCGACTTGGTCGTCTGCGTCCCCGCCCGCCGTTGATCTAGGCAAGTTTCTTTGCCCTATTTTTCACAGAAAGAGAGGTACGCTTTGTAGTTTTACAAGAAGAACCCGATTTGTGAAAAATTGCTACGTGCAGACGTCGATTTTTACGGTCCCTTTTAGGTCGAGCCTGGTGAATTGGGACATTCAATATTCAAAAGCTCGAATAGTAAGAAGGCGAACATCAAATCAGATTGTTCAGGCAATCGCTTTTTGATCTCAAATAAATACTCAAATATTCGCACACCGCTCCGAATTTTTTTTCACCAAGTAGCTTAATGTTGTGTGCATCGATTGCTTCAAATGTTTGTTTTAATTCCAGCGTCGTATGTGCCTCCGGATATCACAAGGAAATCACAATTTCTGTATAATTTCTACAATTCAATCGTGATTTTTGGAGGCAATTTGAAGAATCTTTACTTATATCTCAACCATTTTCAAGTGGTAAGTGCAAAAACGATCACAAATATTCGATTCGAAGACACTTATGATGTGCCTATACCTGCGGCTACGGTTTTGATTAAGAACCCATAAAATATTTTCTCGGCAAAGTTAGGCTAATTTTTATTTTACTATTTGATTTATATTTGTTTTTACGACACGGATTAGTAGTTTTTTTTTTCTACAAAAATAGCTGTCGCAGAAAGATAATTAAAAAAAATAGGCAGCGACCTTTACCTTCAAAGTCCTATAACTGCATGAAATGCATTAGAGGGAAGTGATGAAAGAATTGGTGCGGAAATTGGTGCGTCCCGTGACGTATATTTTCCTGCTAAATTTAGAGTGGAATCTTAACGGCTGTATAGGTCACGTGACGTCAGGTAACGTGATGTTGATTTCCCCTGCTAAATTTATCGTGGAAGCTGAATTGGTGTCTCGGTCACAAGACGGCGATTTTCCCGTTAAATGTAGTGGATAACCGAATTGGTGCATGGGTCATGTGACGCGAATTACCCGCTAAATTTAGCGGAGAAACTGAACCTTTGTTTAGGCAACAAGATGTAAATTTCCCGCTAATTTTGGCGGGGGAAACTGAGTTGACATGTAGGTCATATACCGTCAATTTCCCCAAGGTGTGTAGGTCCGGTGACGTCACGTGATGTCATGTCACGACACTTTCCCCGCTAAATTTAGCGGAAAATTAGTGACGGACGGACGGACGAAAAAAAAGTATGGGACGAGGATTAAAACGCAGTTTTTGCTTGTAAAAAACCAGCAGAATTATTCCGCTCAACTCAACTCGCCTTCAGAACAAGGGGTCACATAATCTGGTGCCGATTAGGGGGCCATCAATGTCCATGAAAGACACGCACTGGAGTTTACAAGGAACAAGGAACGTGTTGTTTTTCGGAGAGTATTGCCTAAAACCCATTATTGTTGGGCAGGAGATCGAATAGTCAGGACCCCATACTTCGTTTAAGCTTAAGTCCGAACGCAGCCGATGCTACGAGCTACGGGACTAATCAAGCAGCGTAAAAAGCACAACTCACTGGGCCCTTTTTCTTTATTAATGGTTCAGCAATGATATAGCACGTACAGACACATGTCGATAACCATAATGGTGCACTTTTGACTCTGTCTGTGTGGTTTCATCAGCTCTTACTTAAAAGAACACTGAACCTAGGAAACAAATTTCTACCTAGTTAGGACAGGCATGTCTTAAATTGAATGTTCGTCGGAAAAAGAATGTTTCCAATATTTATGTTACAATACGAAATTTTTCTATTTACGAGCTTGACCAAAACTGTACCCGTGAGGAATGACGATGACAGCGCTTGTACCCAACTGATGTGCGCTCTGACTTCGCTGGAACTGATTGCGCACACTAGTTGGGTTTACACGCTCTCATCATAATTCTACAGGGTTACAGTTTCGGTTTCACTCGCGAGTAAACATAAATGTGTTGTAGCATAAATGTTGGGCAAAACTTTTTTTTTTTCAACGAACATGTTTTTTTTTTTAGATGTGGCTGTCCTAACCAGGTATAAACATTTTTTCCTAGGTTCAGTGTCCCTCTAAGGTAAAACGAAGTATGAAGTCGTCTTATTCCGCCGGTGTGCCCAGTATTGCCAATGATATGCCGCATTAGGAGTGAGTTGACATGAAATAGGACAAAGATTGCTCAACACTTACCCCGATTACAAGGCGCCAAAATCTTCAAGGTAGTGCCGCCTCCACAAGCGCACTATCTCGGCATAACCTTCGAATCGAGAAGCTGCCCTCCCCCCCCCCCCATTTCCCCTCCCTCCTCCACAGTGCCTTTGGCTTTGCGCAGGTTTCCACTGACCACCCCTGTTAACGTGCGTGTTTAGAGCTAAGCTTAGAGCACATGTGCAAAAAATCAACTCAAAATCTTACAAAAATCGAAACATGCAAAACTCGCTCTCTCTCTTCCTTTTTTAACAACCATGGTGTTTGCAATGCGCATATGGAAGGTGCATCTAAATATAAGCACATTTGTTTTTTGTTTTTTTAGATAAATACTTCCGCATGATTCATTTAAGAAAAATTGTGTGAATTCGGTCGGTCGGTTGTACCACAGCTCAGTGTTCTTCAGCTAAATGTTAGGTGAGGCAACGGCAGCGTCCAACAGCGACAGCAGTAATTGTAATTTTGTAAAATTCACGCTATGTAAGAGTCGTACCTCGCACTTCCACGTCAGGAGAGTGTAAGCAAGCACCTCCATTCTGAGGCTTATCTTTCAGGGGCTAGGGATCGCGATTCTCGCACCGCGGTACCACTATCGTTGAAAGATGCCATATATTACCAACAGCATGTCCTATAATCGTTAAAAAAATACATGACTTCCGAGTTTCCATTCGTGCCTCATGTATGCTTGTTTTTTTAGAAGTTGCTTTTAGGTTGCAACCTGAAACTGGGTGAAAGGCAGCACAACATCTAAAAAGCATCCATATATCCCAAAGATGATAAGTGTTCTAATATCCTATGAGCAGCATGCCAGTTAATGTCACATCCTTTTCAGTCAATTTTTGTGTTGCAGTTTATTCAACGGAAAACGAAGCGCCCCCTCCTGCTGTGACATTATGCAAACTGTCGTAGTCACTATAACTGAAAACGGCATTGCTAATTGTCTCGAGCTTTTGGAAGGCGTGCATTCGGCGATCGTTTTTTGTCCTGTCCGCGTCCTCGAAAGCAAAGAAGGAGGGAAGGGACAAAAGGCTTGAGGTAGACCTAAGCACAATTCTTATGAGTTGTGAATGCGAAGGCATGCATGTCGTTCTTCCGCTCCCTTATTTCGTCTGCGGCGTACTTGCGCCGGCTCTCGAGCGCGTGCTCGCCTCGCCGCGCCTACTTGAGCGTGGAGCCGCTGCTTTTTTCGGCGGCCAGACGCTTCGTGTTACCGGCGCGCTGGCGGCGCGGACACGCAGCACCATGGGGTGGCGGTCGTTGAAACTGACACGCAGCGGCCAATGGGAACCTGGTTCTTTGAAACTATAACGCGCCAGCCAATGGGACCGAAGCCGAAATCTGTCAGATTTCAGCTTCACTGCGCTCTATTGGGAACGGTAAAACTAGGTGCCGTTTGTCTAGGCTTTACGCGCAGCTTCAAAGCTGGGAGATCTCGGCTTCACTTGGAAAAAGGAGTTTAGGTGCCGTATGGCGCGGCTTCAAGGCTAATGACATCGGCTCGCTCCATGGGACAGTTAATGCTTTTGCATTAAAAAGGAAAGAAGTGCACAGAACCGCTACACGCACTTGCGTGCATTTTGACAGTTTTTTTTTTTTTTTTGGAAGGAAACACTTTGGACTTCCGGAGTTTGCCTAATATTATTTGCACTGAGAGACCGGTTCTTTCTGTCAGTTTGCTTCTCTCTTCGCCATGGACAAGCATGCTGACGAGTAACGATTTGCAAACAATCTAGCCACGAAAAAACAAAACAACAGAAGATTTCACTTAAGACTTTAGGTGACAAGAAGAAAGGTTTTAGCATCTTAAGAACGCCAGTTGCCAGTGAGATTCCGGTAAGACTTAGCCTTTCCGACAAAACCATTTTTTTGGTTTTTGGTGTTTTTTCTTCGTCGATGAAAACAAAATGCAACAGATTACTATCCTTCCCTTACGTAAATAAGTAAGAAAATTACTATACAATTACGTTCCAAAATATGTATTTATTTCCTTACAAAATTACCGATAAATATACGGGACTAAGTAATATCGTTACTTGTAACCGATTACATACAAGTCTGCGCCATAGTACCAAGAAGGGATCGAAGGCACTTTCTTTTACATTCGGCCATTAGTTGGGGACTGGGGATGTCCCCAGAAAGTGCCCCGGCGAGGCGCGAGTGCCAAAATTTGAAAAAGATGACAAAATGCGTAAAAACGGCCAAACCCTCTTCATTTTAAACCCGGTTTTCTAAACAAATACAAATACGCGTTTAAAAGTATTTGCCATAGTGCCAGAGTGGACTAGAGCGCTCAAAATTTTATATTACTCTATTAGTTTTTAACTCAGTTCTCCTCAAAAACTTTCTTGGCGAGGCTCGTGTGCCCAAATTTCAAATGATGAACGAATTCGTAAACAAGGCCGAACCATACCGACTTTAACACCGGTTTTCTCAAAAGGATTAATTTTGAAGCAATGGCCATAGTATCAGGATGGGCTCGATGGCTCTAAATTATGTATTCCACTATTAGTTGGAAATTTGGTTGTCCTCAAGAAGTTCCCTGAAGAGGCGTGATTACCCAAATTTCAAAACATGGACGGATGCGTTAAAACAACCGAACCATCCCATATATGAAACAAGCTTTCTAAAAAATAAGCGCATTGAAGTATTTGTTATAGTACCAAAAAGGGCTGCTAACTCTTAACTGCTGCTTACTTCTATTTCGCGCTTCTGACACACGGGGTTATCATTTAATAGGTGCCCTGAACGAGATCCTGGCTGCCCGCAAAATGTGGCTTTTCAAACTGAAGTTTTAGCAAACCGCTAGCTTACTGCCGTCACCGTGCTACAGCTACCGTGGGCCCGACTGCGCATGCGCGACCGCGTACCATTCAAATCTTGAAATATTTGATTTTAGCATACCGGGGACTGGTACCGTGGTATCGGAGCTCGACTGGAGCAAACATCAAGACAAAAGTTGACGGTAATAAATGCATTTCTGAAAAAGGTGGCCCAATAAAGTGGAATAATGATAAAACTAAGGATCGGCGTAAACCGGTACCTGATACTCGAGACACTTATGCTCACGGTGAGGCGAACACGGTATCGCACTTGAGGCATATGACGCCGGCACGAGTCGCGCATGCGCAGTCGGGCCCAGGGTAACAGTAGTACGGTAACGGTAGCACGGTAAAAGAAGTACGGTAACCATTCGCTAAAAGTCCCTACAAGGGACTTTTAGCAAATTGTTACCGTGTTTCGCGTACCGCACTATTCCGGATACTTCGCAGCACGATGTTAATTTAAGCGCGCGC